GGAACTATGCCCAAAGGGCTACAAAACTATGTACCTTTTGACCCAGCAATACATTACTAGTTCTGTATCCCAAAGACATCAAAGAAAAGTAAGAAAGACCTATGTATTTCTGCTCTTTTTGTGGTGACAGAGAACTGGAAATTGAGGGGCTGCCCATCTATTTGAATGGCTAAACAAGTTATAATGCATGATTGTGATGGAGTACTATTGTACTATAAAAAATAACAAGCCAGAGGGTTTCAGAAAAATTTGGGAAGACATACGAACTCATGCAAATTAAAGTGAGCAGAACTAGGAGAATATTGTAACAGCAATATTATAATGAATGATCATCTGTGGAACTCTTAGTTACTCTAATGAAGGCAATAATCCAAGACAATTTCTATGATGAAATCCACCTCTAGAGAGAGATCTGAAGAATGCTGAACACAGATTGAAGCATACTTTATAAATTTTCTTCATTTTTCTTTTTTTTGTCTGTGTTTTCTTTTCAATATGGCTCATAAGGAAATATGTTTTCTGTAACTTCACATGTATAGTCAATTTGCTTCCCTTTTCAAGGAAGTGCAAAGGATAGAAAGGAGAGGAAATTTGGGACTCAATTTTTAAAAATGAATGTTAATTTTTGTATGTAATTGGGGAATATTTCAAGAAATAAAGAAAAGTGTATTAAAATTGTTATTGCGTAAAAAAAGCTTCTATTAATGAGATTTTTTTTAAAGTGAATCCTCAGGTCTACTTTTAAAAAAATCTTTGATATTCACTTAAATAATGTGTTAGTGTATTAGTTATTTATATATGTGTCTTATCCAATATGCTATATTGCAACCTCTTTAAAAGTAAGGTCTGTGGTTTTTTACTTCCACTTCCGGGAACCAAGATGGTGGAGTGAAAAGGTAGTCACTCTCATTCTCCGCTATCAACCTCTGAAAACTCAGAAAATATCACCCCAGAAAAAAATCCTGGAACAGCTGAACTAGAAGAAAGACGAGGAGCAGCAGTGCAGCAGCCCAGCAAACAGGTCTCCCAGTGCCTCAGCAAAAATAAGGGAGGCAGCACTACAAGGGGCCCCAGGAAGATAAGTACCCTAAGGCATTCATCTGAAAGGAGGTGAAGAAAGCAACCAAAAGGCTTCCTAAAGCCCTGGCCTTGCTGGTTCCAGCCCAACACCAGGTGAGCTAGGCCCTGCAGCCTCCAATTGTGAAGAAATCCTGAAGCCCAGGTGGTAGAACAGGCAAACACCAACACCTGGACCTGCAAGTGCCTCAGTGAGGGCAGGGGAACTGGTGGAAACCAGCTCAGAAAACCACCAGGTGCCTTGGCACTCTACCTCAAAGGAATCTCCCAATGCATTAGCAGAAAGGAGGGAGACAACACTGCAGGGGGCCCCAGGCAGATAAACACCCTGCAGCACCCATCTAAAAGGAGCTGAAGAAAGCTAAAGGAAAGGAAAAGCAGGCAACCTAGAATTGCCTGAAAGTTCCAGCCTTGCTGATTCCAGCCCAACAGGAGGTAAGCTGCCAGAACCCTACAGCCTCCAATTGCCAACATAAGAGGCCCCAGCACACAAAGCCAGTGACCAAGACCTAGGCTCCCAACACAAGAAGCTTGGGTCAGTGCCCTCTGTTCCCCAGCAGGAGAGCTCAATCTCTTTAAAGGCCAGGGAATAAAGAAACACCATGAGTAAAAAGAAATGTACCATAGATTCATATTATGAGAAGAGTGAAGATCAAGACAGAAATTCTGAAGAGGACAACATTGTCAACAAACCCACATCTGCAACAACAAAAGGGAATATGAACTGGTCTGAAGCCCAAAAAGCCTTCTTAGAAGAGCTCAAGAAGGATTTTAATAGTCAAATGAGAGAGGTAGAAGAGTCCTTCAAAAATACAATTGGCCAATTGGAAAAAAAAATACACTGAAGAAAACAAGTCCCTAAAAAACACAATTGGCCAATTGAAGAAGGAAGTACAAAAACTAACAGAAGAAAACAATCTGTTAAAAACTAGAATTGGACAAATGGAAACTAATGTCTCTATGAGAGAGCAAGAATCAGTCAAACAGAAACAAAAAAAAAATGAAAAAAATAGATGAAAACCTAAAATACCTCATCGGTAAAACAACCGACCTGGAAAATCGATTCAGGAGAGACAATTTAAAAATTATTGGACTACCTGAAAATCATGATGAAAAAAAGAGCCTGGACAGTATCTTTCAGGAAATCATAAAGGAAAACTGCCCGAAGTCCTAGAACCAGAAGGGAAAATAACCATAGAAAGAATCCACTGATCACCACCTGAAAGAGATCCCAAATTGACAACACCAAGGAATATAATAGCAAAATTCCAAAATTACCAGATGAAAGAGAAGGTGCTGCAAGCAGCCAGAAAGAAACAATTTAAATATCATGGAACCACAGTCAGGATTACACAGGACCTTGCAGCTTCTACATTAAAAGACCGCAGGGCGTGGAACATGATATTCCGTAAGGCAAAGGAGCTTGGAATGCAGCCAAGGATCAATTACCCAGCAAAAATGAGCATCATTTTTCAAGGGAGGAGATGGATATTCAACAAAAGGAGACTTCCAAACTTTCCTGATAAAAAGACCAGAGCTCAACAAAAAATTTGATCTTCAAGTACAGGACTCAAGAAGGACTTAAAAAGGTAAATGGGACAGAAAGATACAATATGTTGTTAATAAGGGGGGGCTGTTTAAACCCCTACAAGGGAATATGAGACTTGCAACCCTTGAGAACTGTATTGTTATTACACCATGTTAAAGGAGTATACATAAAGAGGGTGGATATTAGTTGACTTTGATGTAATGATAAAAAAAATCTAATCAAGTGGGTTAAATGGATCCAAATAAGTGGATCAATCTGATCCTTAGGAAGAAATGTATACTGAGAGGAGGCACAAGGGTAAATTTACATTACAGGAAAAGACACAAAATCCTATTACAGCAGAGAAAGAAGGGAGGGGGTGAGCATTGTTTGAACCTTACTCTCATCAGATTTGGCTCAAGAAGGGCATAACATAATCAGTTAGGTATAGAAATCTAACTTGCCCTATAGGCAGTAGGAGGGAAAAGGGGAAAGAAAAGGGAGGGGGGAAAGAAGGGAGGGAAGAAGCAGTAAGAGTAAAGGGAAGAAAAGGGAAAGGGATAATAAAAGGGAGGAGGGACTGAAGGAGGTGGTGGTCAAAAGCAAAACACTAGTGAAGGGGGAAAGGAAAAAGAGAAAAAAGCATAAAGGGGTGGGAAAGGATGGAGAAAAAGACAGATAGTAATCATAACTGTGAATGTGAATGGGATGAACTCTCCCATAAAACGGAAACAGATTGCAGAATGGATTAAAAACCATAATCCTACAATATGTTGTTTACAGGAAACACATTTGAAAAAGAGTGACACATACAGGGTAAAGGTAAAAGGCTGGAGCAGAATATATTATGCTTCAGCTGAAGTAAAAAAAGCAGGGGTAGCAATCCTGATCTCAGACAAAGCAAAAGCAAAAATAGATCTAATCAAAAGAGATAAGGAAGGAAACTACATCCTGCTAAAAGGCACCATAGACAATGAAGTAATATCATTACTAAACATATATGCACCAAATGGTATAGCATCCAAATTCTTACAGGAGAAGTTCAGGGAGTTACAGGAAGAAATAGACAGCAAAACTATACTAGTGGGGGACCTGAACCTCCCCCTCTCTGCACTAGAAAATCTAACCACAAAATAAACAAGAAAGAAGTTAAGGAGGTGAATAGAACATTAGAAAAGTTAGGTATGATAGACCTCTGGAGAAAACTGAATGGGGATAGAAAGGAATATACTTTTTTCTCAGCAGTACATGGCACATACACAAAAATTGACCATGTACTAGGGCATAAAAACCTCACAATCCAATGCAGAAAGGCAGAAATATTAAATGCATCCTTTTCAGATCATGATACAATGAAAATTATATGTAATAAAGTGCCATAGAAAGACAGACTAAAAAATAATTGGAAACTAAATAATCTAATCCTAAAAAATGATTGGGTCAAAGAACAAATCATAGAAACAATCAATAATTTAATTCAAGAGAATGACAATAATGAGATAACATACTAAAACTTATGGGATGCAGTGAAAGCAGTTCTTAGGGGAGGTTTTATATCTCTAAATGCTTACATAAATAAAATAGAAAAAGAGGAGATTAATGAATTGGGCATACAACTAAAAAAACTGGAAAAGAACAACTTAAAAAGTAAGGTCTGTGCTATTTTTCATATTTATCTTCCCAAGGCCTTGCACATGGTGGGTACTTAATGAATTTTAATTGAATTGAATCATTAAACACACAGTACACAAGATTTCTATGAAAGATATTTACTTTGGACACTAGTGGTGCTAAGTTCAATACAAATAATTATAGATATTTATCAACATAATCAGAAAGCTCAAGTTTCTATGAGATCCAGTAAAAAAGCTCTCCAATTAAGATGAGCTTATATTCTAATTTGTATGCTCATGAATATGATTATATATTCTCAATGATGTCTTTTTTTGCTATGTACTCAATTATTACCTGAATTTTTAATTTTTTTGGTGAGAATTATTTTTATTTTCCATTTCATGTTTTCTCCTTCCCTCTGCTGCCTTTTCTACAAATTGAGAAGGCAAGAAATCTGAGACTCATTATAAACACAAAATTATGCAAAATATGTTTCCTTATTCACCATGTTATGGAGGGGAAGAAGCAAAAATAAAAAAGGGAATAAAAAGATGCTTCAGTCTCCAATTTGAGTCCATCATTTCTCTGTCTGGAAGTGGAACATGATGAAACATACGTCCTTTGGAATTGTCATAAATTATTGGTCATTCACATTTGATTATCATTACACTATTGCTTTTGCTACATATATTGTTCTGTTTCTGCTCGCTTGACTTTGCATCAGTTCATACATCTCCTGAGTTTCTGTCTTTCAGCTATCTATTTTTCTTTTGTTTTCTAGGCTCAACCAACTGTCCTGGGAGACAAAAGAACCCTTCAAGTTGAGTCACCAAAAGAAGAAAAGCCAAGTATTAAGTGTGATTCTCCAGATGTAAGATTAATTTATATAGTATAACCAGAAATAATGCATAAATCTATCTTAATTAAATGCATGTTCCCAAATAACTTTCCATTTTTAGCCATGTAGAAAAATCTAAGCATTTTTCTGCTTGGGTTCCAAGAAGCAAATGTTTTTGTGGTTTAAAATATGTTGGAGTTTCCATCAGAAATTAGTAAGCAGAGTTTACAAAGCTTTTGTAGAATAATCTAGTCCAAGAGATGTAACTTGATGGTTAGCAGGTTTGGCAATCTGTCTGTTCCCACAGAGATTTAGCTGGAATGCTGCAGATATGTAATGAAGGGCCAAGATTAGTTATATAATACTCCCAGCAGGCAGCAGGCAGAACTCCATGTCAGAACTACTTCATTGGAAAGGAAAGGAAGAAGATTAACTTGAAATGATAATAGGAGTGAGTTTTAAAAAGCATGGAGTTGTGCCTTCTGCTGTATGATGACCAAGAAATATAGTGAATTCTGAGGATCAGATGAAGTGAGCAGGATATTGTAAGGTATTATGGAGTCTTAGTTAATAAATTAGAAAGTGATGAGGTGGGATAATATGGTGGAAACAAATATGCACTTAAAAATTAAGATGTTTCAATAGAAGTCAATGGTCTTCCACTTGCTACACATAAAACTGTAAGGACCTCTCTCACCCTCTCTGGACTTCATTTTCTTCAGCTTTCAGAGCTGTCAGGCTTATGCCACAGGGTTACTCTAAAGATTTAATGAATGTGAAAACAGTCCAAAGTCTGTCAAGGGTAATACACATAAAGAATGACCATTTTACACAGAAACAAAATGATAGTTGCACAAGGTTATAAAATGTGGCTTAAAAACATTTTTAGTTTAACTAATCTCCACGTAAAATAAAGAACTCTAAAAGCAATCACTTTGATTCTAATGGAATCAGACAAAATTCGTTAAATAGATTAATATAATCAATGTCTCTTTTTCACTGATATTGAGGATTTACATTAAGCAGATGCTTCTGTTGTTCCTGAATGGAGACGAGAACAGATAATCGAGGTTGTGATTTAGATAAGAAGGGGATTGCTTAAAAATTGTTGTTTTAATAGTAGTAGCAATATTAATAATAGGTAGCATTTATATTGCACCTACTATGTGCCAGGCCCAAAGTGCTGTACAATTTTTAGCTCCTTGTATCCTCACAACAACTCTGGTAGGTAGGTGCTATTATTATCCCTGTTATACAGATGAGGAAATAGGGGCAGACAGAAGCTGTGTCTGGCTCAGGGTCACACCTAATAAATATCTGGATTCGAACTCCAATCTTCCTGATGCCAGACCCAATGCTCTGTCACTATATTACCTAGCTGCCCAGATGTAAAGACCCAATAGCATTTCTAGATCTGTAGGTTTTATTTCATCTAATTATGTTATTTTATTATGTTTTATTTAATTAATTAAATATTTCACAATTACATTTAAAATTAATATCAATTTTTAAATGATTTTCAAATTCTCTTCTACTCCTTGAGAAGGCAAACAATATGTTAACTAGTTTGTTTTTTTAAGCATCCTGGAAAATGAAGCAAATGATGTTGTAGATGTTGAGACATATCACCAGAAAACCTGATTTTAAATGTAACCTCCCCCATTTGTTGTAACTTGGTCAAGTAACAATCACTCTGAGCCTGATTATTCAACTCTCAAATGAGGATAATTACATATGCACCATATTTCCCATGTTAAGATTGTAAAAATAAAATGAGATCATAGATGTGAAAGCACTTTGTAACCCTAGAATGCTATTATTAATACAAATTAAGCAAACATTTCTAAAGTTTTTAATATATTCAAGACACAAATGCAATTTATGGTATTGGCTGTGTCAGGAAGTTGTAAGTTCCCATCATTGGATATTTTCAAGAAGAGTTTGAAGAATCTGGATTTGGGGATAGGTTTCATGTTTCAGGTAGAAATTGGGCTATTTTATGATTTTCAAATCCCTTCCAACGCTGTTCTCTTTTCAATACCAGGGCAGAGGGTAAGGCAGCTAATGACAGCTAAGGCAGTCAGCATCATGGCCATGGTGACAGCATGTAGGGAGAGATTTAAGGAAAAGGAAGAACAAATGTGTCCCACTAGTAGTTACTAGATTCGTTGCTGTTGTGGAACCTTTGGACACATTTGTTGTCCACAGAAAGCAATTGAATTAATCTTCTAAGGCACAAGAAAATTATGATTGTTTTATTTATGTTACTTGGAAAGTATTTGGACTTGGTGGCATTTCAGCATGTCTCCTCCAATACATTAGCCAATGAGGAGATAGTCTTTAGGTCTCTGTGTTCTGTTGGCATTTTTCTTCCTATTAGGCATCTGCATTCTATATCTATGCACGATACCTACTAATTATCTAGTTGTCAGCACACTGGTGCAGTTGAATCAGTGAAAATAAAACCCTCCTAACAAAGCGTAAGCTGCATTTTTTGTAAAGTAATGCTCTGATATTCTACCCCAGAGGTGTCAAACATATGGCCTACAGACCATACTTTGGTCTACAACAATCTTGAGTGTGGCTTAATGTAACTGGAAAATATTTAATGAAATGAAAATATAATAGAGCATAGATAATGTAAGTGGCTGGTTTCTAAGTTATGTAACCCACAGAATTCCTTATGTATGATATAGTGTCACCATTTCTTTTTAAACTGGGACACTAATTGTTCATAATTGATTCTTCCTTACATTGACCTTGAGAGTCAGCTCTGGAATCAGAAAGATCTGAGCTCAAATCTTGTATCAGACGTGTTATAGCTAGAGGACTTTGAATAAGTCATTTAACCTCTCACATCTCCCAGAAAAATCTCTAAGACTATAAATAACAAAGAAGTTGCTGATCTACAGTTGTAGATGCAGTTTCCATACTAGATGTTCCTTATAGCATGGGACAAATGGCACCTTGCAATAACCATTATTCTACTTCACCAAATTTAACATGTTTGGGAACCCCAAACATCCATTGCTGATTCTTTAATAACTCAAAAAGATGTCACCTTGGAGAATAACAGAATTTTGGTTACTAAATATAAACTGGTAGAGATTTTTTTCCAGTAGGTGAGGCTTCCTAGTGCCCCTCAAATCATCATTATGTTTATATATGACTTTTTTATGTGACTATTTTTTCAAATCAGTTTTATTTGTAAATGTGAAAAATAGTTTTATCTTTTGACACTTGACAGGTGGCAATGACAAAATTCCATTGCCCATTTCACCAAAGTCAACAATTAGTGACAGAATTGGAAAATAACATGTCCATTTGGACAGTAGGTTGCCACAGCATGGCATCCAGGGATTCTGAATTCCCATCACTCAGCGTTGCATTTACATTGGGGCTCAGTGTAATGGTTGAGGTGGTGATCATAGTGATGAGATGATTTGTAAGAAAAACGAGGGTTGGTTTGAAATTGAGGAAACAGGTTCATAACGAGCAATATTAAGTTAATGCAAAGGTGAATGAGAGCCATCCTGAAGGTATGGATTTAATTTATTTACCAAGGCAGCACATTTTAAATGTGAATATTCACAATGAATATGGGTTACGAAGATTCAGGTATTTGAGATAAGTTGCCAGTAGTAAGTAGTAATTTCACCTGCCTTACACTGACCCCAATGGTTTCCTACATAAGAATATTGTTATTTCTAATCTACAAAAACAATCTAACATCACACACTTCTAGTGGTATTTATCTCACCTCAGGTGGAAAAACAATGCAGCCCAGCAGTGGTTTCCTCCATGATATCATATTTCTGCTCTGGAAGGGCTGGTTAAATTAGTCTTAATGGGATTTTCTGGCTTCTCATTACTGGCTTTCCTGTGGGTGTCTCATCTTAATAATGCATTGGTCACATAATACTTAAGTAATCTTTCAAAGTACCATCTTAAAAAAAATAAAAGCAAAAGCAAGTTAGCTCTCACTTCAGTATGCATTCACTCATTTTTTAACGTCAATAGATATTAATGATATTCAGGTTCTAGTGTCTTCTATCTAGCACCCAGAAGAATGAAAATATTTCAGTTTTACATCAAAAAGAGAAATAGAAGCTATGTGAGACTATTTTATCTTCCCCACAGATTTGCACACATTTACGAGACACACTGAGGAGTTACTAATAAGCTGGATGACAGAATCTGGATCCATGACCATCTCAGCAGGCTCAAATGATGGGCTGAATTTAATAAGATGCAATTTAATAGGGACAAAATGCTGAGCTGTTAACATGAGGAATATAATTAAAGCTTGTGGGTATTGCAAGGGAGTGACATAGTCCTGTAAGAAGAGTCTAATTTCCCGAAATAGCTGAGGCTTGCTTAAAATATTGAGGCCCAAATTAAAAAAAAAATCAAGGAGAGAGCTTCTTAGACATAATGCAGGCAAGAAGAATGAGGAAGATATAGTCTCTGTGCTTGTACGAGATGGAGTGATATCATATTAGAATAATGCAATGAAAAAATTGCACCTCTCAGCTCCTTTTTCATACTGTTTAATTTTTTAGGAAAGGCAATCTTTAGATTGATAGATAGACCCAAACAAGTGACAAGATATTACAACAGCATAAAAAGGGGTTATAAGTAATTTAGAAAGATGAAAGTTAATAAGACTAAATTCAAACTCCTGCAGCTGAGTTCAAAAGATCAATTGTGCATGTGTACTATTTAGAGGTATAGCTCTCAATAAAGTTTATTGTGAAAAGGATATGGAGATTTCATTGGACTGAAAAAAACCCCTCATGTAGTCTCAAGTTATGTTAATAGTCATAATACTTAGAAGAGGAGAAATCATTTTCATGTACTCCATGCAATCAGATCACATCTATAGTGTTGTGCCTCATTTAGAAAGGAAGGAAAGAAGGAAGGAAGGAAGGAACGAAGGAATGAGGGAAGGAACAAAGGAATGAAGGAAAAATGAGGAAGAGAGGGAAGACCTTATTGAGTGACGAATATGTGCCAGGTACTGTAGTAAGGAC